TCACCCCGTTGACGCAAACTCGACGTGGTTCGCCCAGATCCCACAGTCCGTCAAGGCGATCAAGCGCGCAACCGGCCAGCCTATCGTCAGCCCGACAGGACTTTCCGACTCATACCAAACACTCTGCCTAGCCACTGCTTCCCGGAAGCTGGCTTGGGAGTCGAGAACGTAAGAGAGTTTTTCGGACGAGCTTGCAGAATTTATAGTTGTGAGAAGGAGGATAAGGGAGGGAGAAGGCAGGGGGAGAGTCGGGGTGTAAGAGAAGAAGCAAGAGGAAAAGACTTAGCGGGGAGCGCGCTGCGGAAGCCATGTTGATCCTTCAGAACCCAATGGTCGGCCAATCAGATTCGTCGCACAATAGGAAGATCCTCTTGTTCAACGCGTCTGATTGGTGAGCAGGGGTGATCGGAGGATTAACCGGGATCCGTGAGTCAAGGTTGATGAGCGGGGAGAGATGAAGCGCGAAAAACAGCGTGAGACGGGTCCAAGATTCAGACGATCAAGAAAGAGAAGCAGGCGCGCAAAAAGCAGAGAGGGAAAAACAGTTGTGATAGGAGGAGGAGAAGAGGGGGAAGAGAGAGGGGAGAGTGCGGGAGAAGGATGGCGAGGGAAATAAGGAGGAGGATGCTCGCATGCTCGGTGCCGACAGCAAGCGAAAAAGGCACCGAAACAGTTACAACTTGCCTATGTCCTACACCAATTCAAAAATTGAAATCACCATATCCGCGCGCGAAAGTCGACGAGGGAAAAGAAAATCCTATGCCTATCCGTATTCTCGCAAAATTCCTAGAGTTTTCTCGGATGTGACCGCGAACATTCATGCAAGGAAAAAGATACGTCGGGCTCCGCTTATTCCGTAATTCCTAACTATCGAGCCCGATTCCCAGTGCGCTCGCTAAGGGGCGCGAAATTTCCGTGCATTTCCCGAATTGCAAAGAGGCAGAATTCCAAAAATCAATAGAACTTCCGAAAAATGGAGGCTCAAACAAGGCGCCTGAAATCAAGAAAAGCGACGAGGGTTCTGTGGGGTCGGTATGGTACACAAGGGGGTATTGGGCCAAGAGGGTACGAAAGATAGCACGGGGTCGGGAAGTAGTTCGTCACATATGTGATGCGCAGGGGGTTCCAAAATTATGCGATCTCCTAATTGCATGAAAGCTTGAACAAAGGGAAGAATCAGGAAGAAGTACAAGGGATGAAGAAGCACGGTGAAGTAGCAGCTTGGATCAGCATGATGAGCTGGCGACAACATCCGTGGCAAGATCTTCGTGGATCGCCCCGGCTCGTGTGGTTTCGGATCCCGCTCTCGGCAGCCCTGTCATATGCAACCCCCTGTCCTTCGAGCTTCGGAGATCGTCTAGGTGGCACCATCATGGTCCATCAGATCTCCGTGTGCTCTGCACCCCCAGTCCCGCGCAGTCAATCGAATCAGAGCGTAAGTTGACATTATCGTCAATGGCGTGATCTTCGTGAAAACTGCTGATTCATACGGCTCGGGGGACACGTGGCCTTCAACGCCGTGTGGTGATGGGAAAGTAGATACGATACATGGGGGGGTGTTGACGGGGAGGGCGGGGAGGGAGTGGGGGCAGGTATCGGTTGATCCCTTCCTTTGTAATAGGGAGCTCCTCGTAGCAGATGATCCTGTGGAAACGAGGAAACCAATCGCTGATGTGGGGTAGGAAGGCGAGGTAGTCAGGGTAGAGGGTGGAGAAGGTGCGAAAGAGTGTCGTGCGAAACAGCTTGTAATGGTGGCACGCGGGGATGATCCCCGTGATTACGCAGTAGACTTCTACTGCATTATTTTGTTGCCATGCGACACTGAACAGGAGGACATGTAGACAGAACGTGGGGTTCGCGACTTGAAGGGAGGGGCTGGGATGGACGGTGACGGCGAGACGGGTGGAGTAGAAGTGCTTGAAAGTATTGGGAGGAAAGGGGTTGCGAGGGAAGGTGACGGGGGTAGAAATCTGGGAGAGGGTAAGGTAATCAAGGGGATGGCGGGATAATGACCGGGGACGAAGGCCGATTCCCCGCATCGGTACGTGGACGAACTGGGGGACGGGCTGGGGTGGAGGGGGAGGGGGATCGACTCCGTCTCCGTCGCGATGTGCTTGGACCCGCGGTTGCTGATCCGCCATCTTCGGGCTCGGGGGGCTCTGGATCCTTGGTCGGGTCGTCGTTGAGGCACGGGCTCGCTTCGCTGGCGAATTCCAACTGGCTTTTCTCGACAACGATCTCTTCCCTTCTACGTGCCGCTTCGGGATTTTTCGCTTCCGTGCCTGTGTGCACCACTTTTTCCGGCAAGTCCTCCCACTCCGATCCGGCTTCCTCCTCTTCGTCTTCTTCTTCTTCAAGCTCTTCCTCCTCCTCACTCTGCTCCCGTTCGCTGTACTCACTATAACTCCCTTCCTCTGACGTTTCTTCGTCAACGTCGCCCTCTCCTTCAGTGGCTTCCTCTTCTTCTTCAAGGGCCTCGGGCTCCTTTGGATAGAAGGAGCGATCGATGATCCCGTACGGCTTCAAGTATTCCTGTTGTGATGGCAGCGTGCTATCACTCCCAGGTTCCTCCAAGGAAGCGGTCCACTGGAGATACAGCGCCAACGTCCGCGTGATGATGTGCGGAGCGGGACTGTCGTCACTTTGCGAAACGATGTCGAGGGGGAGATCGTCAGCCAATTGCGCGAGCGGGACGATGAGCTCTTGAACGATAGGCTGGCGATGGCCTGGTCGCACCGATCCGAAGAGGAAACCGAGAAGATCGCCTTCCACGTCCGTTCTCCAAACCTGCAAGATCAACAGCTCCAGGTACTCGATGCACGCAGGCTGCTCACTGGTCCGTGTCCACGTCACCTGCACTCGGGCCAAGCACACAGACAGATCGACAAAGATCTCACGCCACACCCGCCAATGCCCAGGATTGAGGAGCGAAACGGCGAGAGGCTCGAGTAAGAGAGAAAGGCGAGGATGGAGATCGGATTGCCAGAAGGTGGGGAAAAGAGAGGGGGAACCGAAGGTGGAGAGGGGAGCGAAGGAAGCGGCGCGGTTCATTGGGGGCGTTGGAAGGGGATGAGGGCAGGGAGTGCGACTGTCGGCTGACGCGGAGAAGTGCGAGCGTCGAAGTCCGTCCCGTATGTCGAAAATAGATTGTAGCCCGGGCGCACGAGACCGTGATGCCAATTAGTCAACACCTGCTGCGCCCACTCCCACAAGGAGGTCAAGATCGCGGTATGCCGCAGAGGGCTAATCGTGCTGATGTCGCCGGTGAAAGCAGTGACCGTGGTGACGTGGCTCGTCCCGGGAGCCGCTCGTCGATGAAGTGCCACCACCTCCGCCAATATTACTGCCTGCTGACTCCCGGCGAATCGGAAAGCAGCAGCGGCACACACTCCCTCGGTGCAGAAAAACTGTGCTAACCTTCGCAGATCAGGACTAAGTCATGGATGACGAACTTGTCGGATCTCAGAGATGTAGCCACGTGGCTGCAGCAGATGATCGCCTAGGGCTAGCTCCATGATGAAACTCATAGCGAGGCCGGGGAGGAAGATGAAAGAGGGGAGCAGGAGGGAGAGGGCGAGGCGGGAACTAGATCGTCTTCGTCCTCTTCTTTAGTGGACAAGGGAGATGGAGGGATGTCAGAGGGAGGGAGGAGACGGATATAAGAGGTATGACGGAAGATGGAGACAGAGCTATAGCTGGCGCTTGCCTCGGGCGCGATGAGCACCGTGTTGGCACCGTTGGGACCGAGTTCGACGATGCGGAAACAGCCAGAAAACTTGGGAGCGAGTTTACGGTCGCGTGCACATTTGCGTACTTGCACCAGGTCCCCTAACTTATATTGATGCTGCGGGCCCGCATTTCCATTCCGAGCCTCGTAGCTACAGACCTGTCTACCGTGGGCCATTTCGGTCATTTTCTGTCTCTTTCGGGCCAATTTAGGTATGACCCTTTTCATTAAATCAGCATACCTTTTGGCCTTGGCCTTAAGGGCGGCACGCGTGTCTCTACCCCCTGCGTCGGCAATTTCCGAGTGGCCCCGGTAATCGACACATGGGAGGCTATTGGTTCAAAGCTGGAAGGGGGTGAACCTCGTGGGTTCATGGGGGGTGGCCCGGTGGATTCCGACAATCTGATATACGATCTCGGGCCAGGGACGCGTGTCACCCGCCGCTAGATTTCTTCGGAGGGCAGTCTTAATCATTCGATTGGCATTTTCGGCCAATCCGTTGGACTGGGAAATGTGGGGTGCCGTATGCCGAAGTGTAATGCCTCTTCGTGCAAGTAGTTCCTCTACCTCACCTTTGAACTCGTACCCATTGTCGGTTAGAATTTCTTCCGTATCTAGGTGAGTATAGAGAAACCGATCGATGTATGTGGCTATTTCTGCGGCCTTTCGGGTTCTACACGGGTAGATTTCGATTGACTTCAAGAAATGATTGATCAATACCAAGAGGACGGAGTATTCACAACGGTTGGGGCCAGGTGGCACGTTTATGTCAGTCGTATCCATACTGACCCGCTGAAAGGGATGTTCTACCTCCGTTGGAACTATCGTATTCGGCCCTCGAAGGGGCGCGTGGTCGGCAACACAGACTAGACAGTTAGCGACCACGTGCTTCACATCATCGCGGATATTAGACCAGAACCATCGATTTTGATCGATAGTTGCCTCGGTGACACGTATCGCAAAATGAGCGGTCTGTTCCTCGTGCGCGGACCTAGTTCAGTCATATCTCTGAAAAGGATGGGGAACCGTCAACCATAGTCCCGATCCGTCAGTTTTACGTTTTTCTAGGTGGCCGTTGATCCACCGGTAATCCCGAGATCTCTCGGTAGCCCGACGTCTGTCGTGCTTAGTGAGATGATCCAAGGGTAACCCAGCCAGCTTAGCCAACAAGATTTTATCCGTCCAGACCTCCGCCCGTCAGTATTTCTCGTCGTATTCAGGGCCATCTGTACGGGCAGCCTCGAATCGAACCTCAGTAGGTAGTTTGTCCGTCCTACACAGAGGGCATTTCCATTCCCTACTACTTGTTTGATATCGAACACATGCACCGTGTGCACGATTGACACACGTGGCACAATTTACCCATTCAACGAACCCGGTCTCAAAAGGATGACAATTCACCCTATATACCCGTGTGATACACGTGCAAAAATAGCAGAATCTGTCGGGAAGGGTGGCAAAGAAGGCCGAGCTGGCGAGAGGGCCGGGATCAGCAGGGAAAAAAAGGGTCGCAGAGATAGGTGGGGTAGCCATTATGAGAGAAGGGGGAGAGAGAGTGATCAGGGCTGCAGAGAGGTCAGAGCAAGCTACGTGTCACTCACTCCTTTGACATAATTTCCACCTGTCCGTATCGCGTTCCGCTTTCCTCCTCCGGCTCGTTCCACAGAATCACTTCTTCGGTCTTGAGGACCTTCTCGGGTTGGTGTAGTCGTGTCAACTCGTCAGCATTCCCATGCCTCTCGTGCTTCCGATGGCGGATGTCAAAGTCCATGCTCTGCAGGATGGTGGCCCACCGTCCGATCATACCCGAGTAATCCTTGGATTTCTTCAGAGCCAACAACGGCTCGTGATCGGTTACTAATGTAAACTTTTGACCGTACAGATATGCTCGGAAGTGGCTGATCCCCCATAAGGCTGCGCAACATTCTCCTGTCGGGGTCGCGTAGTTGCGCTTGCAGGTCGGCACCGTCTTAGATGCGTATTCCACCACGTGTTCGAGACCGTCGGGTCCCACCTGAGCCAAGATTGCGGAAATCGCCTCCGACTGCCAATCGGTTATGAGAACAAAGGGCTTCCCTGGGTCCGGCCTTATAAGAACTGGGGCCGAAATAAGGGCCGCCTTGAGTTCTCCGAAAGCCCGATCGCACTGCGGGGTCCACATCAACGGTTGATCCTTTTTCAAGAGATTCGTGAGTGGTCCCGCGATCGCTGCAAATCCCTTGACGAACCTTCGATAGTACGACGCCAAACCCAAAAAGGCGCGGACCTGCGTTATGGAAGTCGGTACGGGTGCGTCTTTCACCGTTGTCACCTTCTGGGGATCTGGCTGCAACCCCTGACTCGTGACGACGTGGCCGAGGAAGGAGATCTCTATGAGAAAAAACTAGCATTTTTCAACCGCCACCTTGAACCCTGCGTCCTTGAGCGCGTGTAGTGCCCATTCAATGTGCTGCACGTGTCCCTCATAGGAAGTAGAGAACACAAGGATATCATCCATATACACAATCATAAAATAATTGATTATGCTTTGCGCCAGCCACGTTTTTCGCATGAAATTCTGGAAGGCCATATTCATCGTGCGCTGAAATGTGGTTGGGGCATTGCAAATCCCCATCGGACATCTGACCCATTGCCAGGTTCCTTCGAAAAGAATGAACACCGTTTTCGGGCGGTCTTCTTTTCGAACTAGAAGATGGTGAAATCCATGTCGAATATCAAACTTGCTAAAGAATCGAGCGCCACCAATAACATCCAACAATTCATCAATCCGAGGGAGAGGATACACATCTTTAATCGTGATATCGTCCAGTTTTCAGTAATCAATACAGATGCGAATTCCTCCTGCTTTCTTTGGCACAATCACCAATGGAAACGACCATGGTCCGATAGCGGGCTCAATCCATCCATTAGCCTCGAACTCCTTGATTCTTTTGAACGCGGCGGCTCTCTGCGCTGGTGAGTATCGATACGGAGCGCAACTAATGGGTGGATGATCCCCCGTAAGGATCGCGTGCTCAATTACAGTAGATAGCCCGATATCGCTGTCATCCATACTCAATACGTCAGCATAGCCATGCAATACATTAATCAGGGATTCTCGGATATCCTTCGGGACATGATTGGGAATGACGATTATCGTGTTATTTTCCGAGCTCAGAGGCGTGTCAATCCACTCCAATCCTCGTGATCGCCTGTTGTGGACGCTGGAAAACATTGAACTGCTAGTTCGGACCGAAAAGACGGTAGCGATCATCTGTGATTCTGCAAGAGTGATCATTTCGGTTTTTTTAATTTCAGCGTCGGCCTCAGGGTCATCGATGCTTTTGGCTATCTCGACTCCCGTTCATTCCGTCATTTCATGCATGAGATCCGGAACGTCGGTGATCGGGGCTTCTGCCTTTTCTTTGATCAAGGCGACCACGGCTCCTTGAGTGAGTAGTGATCGGGGAGGGGAGACAGAGAGATCCAAGTATTGGTTCATCTGCTGATACCTCGCTCGGAGGGACAGTGTGCCCTCGTATAATGTGCGAGGGGGTTCCAAAAAATCAGCCATGTCTGAGATTTGCAAGATCGGTTCTCCCAAAAAGGTCGTAGGGCGAGTCTGATTTTCCGTAGGTAAGGGACGGCTGGAGTCGCTGTTACCCGAACTTAGATCGTACGTCCGAGTTGTTGCAGGAATCATCTGGAATTCCTCTTTCGTCTCGCAATCGAACATTTTGACTAACTGCTTCCACTCTTCGTGGCTGGGCATTACGCTCAGTTCTTCCTCATACTCATGCTCATCGAACTCGTCTTCCCGCACAAGGTAATCCGAGTTTGAGGGGGATTTCTCAATATTCCGGATCATCCCTATCCGATCAATATTGGGATATTTCCGCGGGGATCGGGTGGAGATTCGGAGAGGGAGCGTCTGGGGCTTCCCTCCCGTTTGAGTGAGGACGAGTTGTTTTGAATTGAAATGGACTCGAGCCCCTACTGCCATCGCCCTGGGTAATCCCAACAATATTGAATAAGAATGTACGTCAATGACTAACGCATTAACCAACACATGCACTCGACCTACCTTGATCGCGACATTTTCAATGATTCCTACGATATTCATGGCTTCCTCATCGATCGAGACGTAGTTATCCCTCCCGGGTAGAGGAAGGATAGAGTTCAATCGTCCAGTTTTTCGGACTGTGTTTAAGGAAATGGCGACTGTCGATGATCCGGTATCAATTAGTGCATCAAAAGGTTTGCCCCAGACTTCACAATCGCATTCCGCGCCTTTCCATAGGACCGATCGCACTCGTACAAAGAGATTTTTCTCAGCATAGGAGATAACTGCGATTCAAGCTGGTTCAGGTGCGTTTGTGGTGACTACTGGGGGCGGATTAGCTTCGTTTTCGTCGTCTTGCTTCTTTTTCAGCATACGCTGAACGCGTTGATAGGTGAAGCGCTTCTGATTCTTCTGACACTGTTGTAGAAGTTTATCATTCGCGGCCCTGGATATAGTCAGCAGATGTCCTACAAGGATTGACACTCGAATATCTAATTGTTTCAGTGTATGTAGGAGATCAATTTCCCCTGTTTGAAACTGAGGTCCTGGTTCGGATGTTCGTTCGACCCAATCGAGTTCTTCTTTGGCGGGTCGGATCACTCCGATCAGACCGGCCAACTGAAGGTACTCGGTGGGGTCGACGACATCCGTGACTTCAGAGGATCCTGACGTGGATACGCCCTGATTGCCTGAGTGAGGCTGATCCACGATGAACGGGGAAGCCTCCCTTACCTGTTCTAACACTGCGGCCACTCGTCCCTGGTTCAAAGCTACAGGTGCGACCGCAGGAGGCAGTTGATTGCGTTTCGGCTGAGGGCAATCTCGAGCGAAATGCCCTGGCTGCTTGCAATTATAGCATTCGATTCTTCCTGCTGGATTAGCCATCTGAAGAGGAGTGGCAGAGTGAACCGGTCCACCCGGGGGAGGAGCCGTAAGCACCGGGTACTGAGCAGGAACGGGGCGAGAAGGGCCTGAATTAGCCTTCACCAGTTTGGTCATGATCTGTTTTAGTCGATCCATTTGAGAGGCCTGCATTTGCAACAGGTTATTCATCCATTCGGACTGTTTAGTCGTAGCGGTGTGGATCATCTGAGCTAAATGCAGATTGGTGATGGGGTCCGAGGTGGTTTCCTGAGCCATGACAGTATTTACGGGTGTGATCTTCGGAGGGGGAGATAGTTTTGAGAGGAGTGGGGGATGAGACGAGGAGGGCTCCGAGATAGGGCCGTCCTGATAATCATGATCTGGTCGGGGGAAAAATCGTTCTACCGCTCTGAGCCAGGATCGCTTTTTGGGCGCCACATCTTGGATCGTATCCGAGATGTCTTCCTCTCCCTGTCGGATGTATTTATGTGTATCCAATAGATCCAACTCGAGGGCTTTGGCTATGATGACTGACAACTGGTTGGTCTTGGGAGGGTTTTTTTCTGCAGTTTCACTTTCAGCTCAGGATTTCGAAGGTGATCGATGAATAAATCTCGAGCCGCGTTCTCTTCCCGCCCCGACTTGTCTAAGGCAGTCCGAAATCGATCTACAAAGTCAGGTAGTAATTTCCCAGGTTCTTGTGGACGGGTTTTTAGTACAAACCAGATAGCATCTTCACTGACCGCGTCAAACCGTGCCAAGAACGCTCTTTTGAAGGTATCCCAATCTACCCACCTGTGTCATCTAAACCAATCGTGCGCAGTGTTTCGAAGCAGCAGGGTGATGACGCGAGGAAGGTCCTCCGCGCCATAGCCTTGCGCGACGCTCCATTTGCTTCGCCCATAGGCATCTCCGGTCGGGCTTCGGCAGATCTTTGCCTAGTGACCGGCGGACTGAGGCGGTTAGGTTGTTTAGCGGCCCTTCCTCTCGCCAGCTCGTCTCACTATTATCAGAACCGACACGTGTCGGCTCCGATACCAACCTCACGCCCCGTGCTGTCTTCCGTTTGGAGTGCTAAGCGTGTGGAAAAGAGGCCCAAAAAAACAACAAGATGAGAAGTACCAAGGATTTTTGGGAAATTGAGTGTGGGGACACAGACAAAACTGAAATCCCCCGTGACGGTCCGATGAAGTGAGTCGGTTGCTTTTCGCGCGATGCAGAATGCGCTCACGAATTCGGCGCGAAAAGGAGAGAGGAATACAAATTTAATCCAAAAAGTATTGTCGTACTTCCCACCGTGCTACGACTCTTCGTTTAGAGCAAAAAGGTTTCGGCACGCTTCGTGTGTCTCGCTTGCGTATTAAGTCATGGCGTCGCTCGCTGGTCAGTTTCGAGTCCGACGTGGAGGGTCTTAGTCGGGTGACTCTTTCTCTATGTTCGTCGTCGTTTCGTGTGCGGTAGTGGAAGCCATTGGATTCGTAGCGCTCGAAACGCTGGCACTTAGTGCACAGAGTGCGAGGCCAGTGGGGTTCCACTACCGTCCACGGAATGACGATCAACTCGTTAAAGGGCAACAATATCGAGTAAGGCGGGAAGTGAGTATCGATAATGACAAATCCAGCATCCACAAATCCCGAGCAACGATTTTCAGGAGGGAAGTAATATCGTCCGCCGATCCGTGCGACAGCTTTTCGTACGTCCCACTCGCATACACGTGTCCTTTCCTCGTCGTAAGGAAAAGGTCGCGTCGGCACGGGAGATACCGGAGGCTGGCGCCCGATCGAAGGGCGTTCGTCAGTCCACATGTCAATCAATTGCAAAAATCCCGAGACGTCATCAAGGAAAACAACACCCGCACAACAACCAATCAATTCTTTTCGACACGAGAGAGAGACCACTTATCAGTTCGATCATGCACTTAACCGAGGGACCGACCCGCAACTCAGGTTTAGTAAGCCGACGCGGCGTTGATCCTGGGCGCCTTGTTTTTAGAGGCTGCCCCGTATATCGGTTGCAGATGTCGTGCAGCATAAGGCATATGGCATGGGCGGTGCATTCAGAACCACAAATCTAAACACTCTTGCATTCTCGAACAAAATCCCATCGAGCGATGAGTCTAATCAATGCAAAAAGGCAAGCATCTACATACATACACCCACTGTGGAAGGTACGGAAATGACCAGGGGTGCATAGGGCAAAAATCGACCGAGGGAATTGTACACACGCATCCAACATTCTCAAGACAAGAGGATCAATTCCTCGACATTTGGGGATTACCCAGGAAACTAATGGAAGAGTTCCGGAAGAAGTTCCTTCGCACAGAGAACCCCACAGGT